CTGTCTCAAAAAAAAAAAAAAAAAAAAAAACTAAATATGAAAAACAATGGTTCCATAATATTTAACTGAGTTCAGGTCTTCATCCCACCTCATGCAAATAATACTGCAATTAATAACTTTTGTCAATTTTTAGCATTATTACCCTAGGACACAAGCTCTAATACTGATTCAGGGGGGTATAATTACTTTGGGTTTTTTGTTGGTTTTTTTTTTGTTGTTGTTTTGCTTTGTTGAGATGGAGTCTCACTCTGTCACCCAAGCTGGAATACAGTGGTGGGATCTCAGCTCACCACAACCTCTGCCTCCCAGGTTCAAGTAGTTCCCCTACCTCAGCCTCCCAAGCTGGGATTAGAGGCACAAGCCATCACACCCAGCCAGTTTTTCTATTTTTAATAGACACAGGCTTTCACCATGTTGACCAGGCTGGTCTTGAACTCCTGTCTTCAAGTGATCCTCCCAACCTGGCCTCCCAAAGTGCTGGGATTACAGGCCTGAGGCACCACACCCGGCTATTACTTTGAAACAAACATTATTTCTAAAATAACTGCCTTCCAAAAAAACTGTACTTCATTAGCCATGGAAAGAAGGGACTTTCCAAATTTAATAAATAAGGTTTTAGGCCAGGTACAGGCTCATGCCTGTAATCCCTGCACTTTGGGAGGCAAAGGCGGGTTGATCACCTAAGGTCAGGAGTTCGAGACCAGCCTGACGAACATGGTAAAACCCATCTCTACTAAAAATACAAAAAAATTAGCTGGGCATGGTGGTGGGCACCTGTAATCTCAGCTACTCAGGAAGCGGAGGCAGGAGAATTGCTGAATCCAAGAGGCAGAGGTCGCTGTGAGCCGAGATCTTGCCATTGCACTCCAGCATGGGCAAAAAGAGCAAAACTCATCTCTAAATAAATAAATTAGGCTAATTTAAGAAACAATGGCCTATAATGATACACAAATTGTTAACTTTTAATTTGCATTTGTTTAATTACCAGTAAGGTGGAACATTTTTGTATACATTTATTCACTTTTACAAACTATTCATGTCAATTGGGGTTCTTAGAAATCTGCATGACTTCTCTTGCCTTATGATTTATTTGACCTGTAGAATCCAGAAATTTTTAAGGTAATTAAAGCTTTCTCCCTAAAGCTCAGGAAGCCCTCCTTGCATCAGGTTTGACTCATTATATAATGTCTTCTGGTTTTTCCTACGGTGGAACCAGCAGAATTTTTAATAGTGTGAGATAAACTGAAGAAGGGAAGAAAATATAAGTGCCTTTTCCACTGCTGGGATCAACCTTATGCAAGTGGTAAGGAGAAGCTACTTGTTAGGCAGCAAGTAGCCAGAGCCAGAGCCATGGCAAAGGACCCAAATACACTTTTGACCAATTCTAGGAGGCTTCATGTTCTGCTAAATCTGATCATCCTCAGCCTCAGGATTCCTTTGGCCTATGCTGCCAAGCCACATTCCTTCAGTGGTCAGGTTTCCCCTCTATTTCACTCCTCCTATTCTATACAAATGCATTGCAAGTAATGATTTAAGTGTTTCAGTTTAAAATCCCCAGAGCCTCTGCCTACAGTTTTAGGATTCATGCTACGGAATAAGCAACTTAAGAAAAAATTCCCTGAAGAGGTTGGAGAGAGAGCTTTTCTGTTTTGCTATCATCTGTATGTTTGGTCCAGACTCTTTTCTATGGTGGTAAATCTAGACTCTAAACCAGGTAAGAGAAGAGAAACCTTGCCTTTCTTTACTGCTCTCATACTCAAGCTTGGGTGTTAAATAACCTGAGCATATTAGCATTTTCCCCTGTTTCTGTAAGATAATTCTTACATAACTCCAGATTTTTATTTTCCCTATTTTCAACCAAATCTATAACATTCCTCAACTACATTTTAGCCTCAAGCAATTATAAAACCTGATTTTAAATTTTTGAAAATTTTTACCTTATGAGTTTATAAAAATATTGAAAGCTGTGAGGTCTTTTTGTACTTATGTTTATTTTTCATGTTTTACTACTTTAACATAGAAACCCTAATAAACTTTTTAAGATGATAAACAGCCTACCTTTTCTTTTTCTTCAATGGGAATGCCTGTAAACATAATGGTGAATCATGATTTTAAATGAATGTTCATGGCATTAAAATCACACTAATGTGATCTATTAATGCAAAATACAATGCTACTTTTGTTATTCAGTGAAAAAGAATTAGCAAAACATTTGGAATTGAGATGACTAATGAGATGAGTAAATTTTTAATAGAAACATTACAAAAAGCAATCGAAAGATACTTATCTACCACCTGGTTAGTCTGCAACTTCACTGTAATTATAATTCATCCTCATGTGTCAATTGAGTTAAAAATCATATAAGTTGGGTTCCTTTCTAAGATGTGCTTCATCCTCCTCATTTGATCACTTTACTATATATATATATTTTTTTTTAAGATGGGGTTTCACCATAAAGGCCAGGCTGGTCTTGAACTCCTGACCTCAGGTGATCCAACCACCTCGGCCACCCAAAGTGCTAGGATTACAGGCGTTGGCCACCGCGCCCAGCCTATTGATCACTTTAAAAAGTAGCCTCATTTTATGAAAGCCTATATAAAAGCATCCAAACTATAAAACAAGGAAATCAAAGGAGGACTTCATTTTTTATGGTTGGCATGGTTCTTTTAAATGACATATTCCTTAGTCTATTTAAATATAATTTACATTAACTTCTTGAAAATTAGTATGTTTCAATCAATAAATTACATAAAGTACTTATGAACTCTAAGCTATTTGATTATATGCACCAATAAAGCTGCATTTTCTAATTATCTATCTCATTGCAGGACCCCTCTTTTACACTACTGGTATTATTTAGCAAGTGCCTACTCTGTTAAAGCACCCAAGATACAATTAAAAATAAAATGCCACATTTTAAAAATGTAATTTAACTTGAAAACTAACTACAACCATCTCTAAAAACTTACAGAATTATCAAACAATTCTAGTAGAAGTCCAAAATAGACTATGTCAATGGGATGGAAAAAATTAGATTTCTCTTTAAATACATAAATATTTAAACCATATTATACAACTCTGTTACAAAATGTCTACCACAAATCTATTTTCAAGAATATGATCACAATTAGCTAAAGCTATTAGCATTATTAGTCATGTTATTTCTAAGGGGAATTCTGTTATATTTCCAGGTAAAATGTCAATTGCATCAGAAGATAAGGAAGACGTCTCAGGAAATTCTTTACTTTTGGTTTCTCATGTCAGACCAGTGGAACTAGGTACAGTATATGGGTGAAACAGAGGGAAATTGATCTAATTTCAAACTGGAAGATAAGATTGGTTTCTAATCTGAGAAAACGAAGAATTTTTCCTGGAAGAAACACTCAGAATTAATGTATGTTTTCCTCCCTTTTTACCAACCCATACTGAAAAAAATTATTTCTAAAGCAAATTATTTCTTTACCAAATTTAAGTTTCCTAGAAATATTGGTTCTCTAATTTCTAAACTTAACTCTTTAAATATTATAAGAAATCTGATGACTAAACTTACAAATAGTAATGAGCATGATTACTTTAGTGTCAAGGCAAGGGATTAAGACAAACAGAATTTTATGTTTGAAGGTAAACATCAGAGCCACAACCAGATCAAGGATAATTTTAGTCACCCAACAAATTAAATTCAATGTAAATTCGTCTTTGCTTCTAATTTCGTATTGAAGCTAAAAGCAAAAACCTTACTTTTAACTCAAATAATAGAAAACCTTATTTGTCACCCAAGTAAGAATAAAAAAATTCAGAAAAGCATTTCAAAGCAAAGACATTAAATACACCACAAAATATCCCAAGCAAATGCTATCCAGTTTTTTTTTCAATGACTTAAACTCATTATAGATGCTGGGATCTAAACTACTTCTTTAGTGAACCTGACAAAAGTTATTAATTACAATACCATTTCAACGATGGGGGCCAAAACCTAAACTCAATTAAATATTACTCAACCATTAATTGTAATATTTAATTTTAAATTACGGCCAGGCACAGTGACTCACATCTGTAACCCCAATACTTTTGAAGGCCAAGGTCAGGGATCACTTGAGGCCAGGAGTTTGAGACCAGCCTGGGCAACATAGTGAGACCCCCATGCCTATAAAAAGTGTTAAAAATAAGCAAAGTGCAGTGGCTCATGCCTGTAGTCCCGCTACTTGTGAGACTGTGGCAGGAGGCTCATTTGAGCCCACAAGTTCAAGGCTGCAGTGAGCCCTGAATGTGCTACTGCACTCCAGCTTGTGCAACAGAGTCTCGGGGAAAAAAAGAAACAAAATAAATTATGATTAATCTTGAAGATTATTTTTAATGCAAACAAAATGTTAATGTCAGGCATGGTAGTGTGTGCCTGTGGTCCCATCTACTCTGGAAGCTCGCTTGAGCATGGGAGGTTCAGGCTGCAATGAGCTGTGATCTCACCACTACACTCTAGCCTTGGTGAAAGAAAATTTACTTTCTTTTTTAAAAAAACTTATTTTATTTTACCTTATTTTGAGACACAGTCTCACACTTTCGCCCAGGTTGGAGTGTAGTGGCATATTCTCGGCCCACTGCAACCTCCACCTCCTGGGCTCCAGCAATCCTCCCACTTCAGCCTCCTGAATGGCTAATTTTTGCATTTTTGTAGAGACGGGTTTCGCCCTGTTGCTCAGGATGGTCTCCAACTCCTGAGCTCAGGCGATCCACCTGCCTTGGCCTCCAAAAGTGCTAGGATTACAGGCCTAAGCCATCATGCACAGCCAAAAATTCCTTTCTTTAATAACATTGCATCCAATTTGAAACTCTGTCTCAAAAAAAAAAAAAAAGTGCTTGTAATTTTATAATTCAAAAAATGAACCTACTTATTTTATGAACATGAAATCTGAGAAAAACACAAGATAGTATGGTTGTTCAAAATATCTACAATATAATGTCAAGTACTGTCAGTAATGTAAATGAAGTGTAAAACTGTGCTAGAAACCTAATACGCAGCATGGCATATTAAAGGATTTAAAACTAAGCGGAGACATACTGCCTAGGAGCAAGGCATTATGAAATTTCTGACATATTTCCCTAACATTAAAAGAACATACTTTATTTAAAATGGCTTTAGTTTCTGTAATTTTCCAAGGCATAAGCACTGAAGAACAGAGTCACGCTGTTCTGTGTGACTCTTCCAAGCCCTCAACTCATGAGTAGCCTCAGTTCTCAACCCTGACTACACATTAGATTCACTATCTGGAGATGAGGCAGGTACCAGAGTGCTGGTTTTTAAATGCTTCCCAGTAGACTGATATATAGCCAAAGGAAATCATAAGATAAAGAAAAAAGGAAGGAGTTAAATTGTTTGTACCTGTCCTATTTCAAAACAAATTATCTACAATGAGCCGTTTCTTATATAATGATTGCTTTCTACAGTAAATACTACACATTTATATACTGATATACACCCTATATACTAAAGGAGTGGTATGGAAGAGAAAGAAATGGTATGGAGGAAAGATGATCAAAATGTGACTAAAAAAACACAACTTTATTGAAGCCAGTAACTGGCATAATAATGAACAGATTTAGGTTCTGTATTTTGTTTCCCTACTGTTTAAGAGAACAGCTAAGCTATGATTTGTTACTCCATCTCCTATGGAGGAAATTGCCTTCTTTAATAATGTTGCATCCAATTATTTACCTCGCTGATGTATATAACACATATTTCTTTTACCTCTCCACCTAATGCAGGTATCTCTACATCAGTATTGGAACCCTCTAATAACACGACTTTTATCCCAACTGTAGCAAATGAAGGAGGAAAGCACTGGACTGTGCCAGAAGTCAGGGCTCTTATAGACATCTGGTCTGATAAAAGCATACAACGACAACTAGAGGGAACAGTGAGAAATAAAAGGATATTTGAACAAATTGCTGGCAAGCTTCAGAAATTTGGAATAGAGAGAGACTGGAAGCAATGCAGAACAAAGTACAAAAACCTAAAACATGAATACAAGATTGTAAGAACAGCACAGGACCTAGGCATGACTAAGAGTATGAAATTTTTTACTGAGTTGGATGCCATTCTGGGACACAATAAAACAGAAAAGTCACGAGACCAGGAATCCCAAGATGGAGAACCTGTCAAAGAATGTGCCAACATAAAAATGGGAGAGGACCAGACAGGTAGGAAGGTGAAGAAAAGTAATCTTAACATCATGTTACATCATACAGGTTCAAGGATCCCTTTTCCAAAATGCCTGGGATCAGAAGTGTTTTAGATTTAGAATTTTTTCAGATTTTAGAATATTTGCATATACGTAGTGAGGTATCTTAGAAAGGACACCCAAGTCCAAACATGAAATGTTTGTGTGTTTATGTGTTTATATATATAGCTTGAAGCTAATGTTATGCAGTATTTTAAAAAATTTTGTGCATGAAACAAAGTTTGGACTGTACCCATCACATGAGGTCAAGTGTATGATTTTTCCCATGTGGCATCATGTTGGTGCTCAAAATGTTTCAGATTTTGTAGCATTTCAGATTTCAGATTAGAGATGCTCAACCTGTATTGAGAATGTCCAGTACCATAAGAAGAATATTATATATGTCAGTTATATAGGTTTCATTACATGCTATTTGACAAGCTAGCTGAATTTACTATGAAACAGATTTAGTACATATTTGATCTCCCCCAGAACAGAAACAGTATAGTTATACTAAAAGGAAGAAATAAAACTGGATTCCCAAAGTAAAGTTTAAAATAGATCAATTTTAATAAAGCAAATATGCAACCCCAGATGGCAGAAGTTAAAGTAAATTTTCATACTAATTGTGGTACAACTGAGTAGAATAGAAAAAGGGCACTGAAGAATTTAGAAAACTATAAAATACATGAGACTTTCTTAGAAGTAGTAAGTTTCTCTGGGACCCATCATAAATGTCTTTAAAATATATTTAAACCAAAGGATAGAGATACAGTACATACACACAAAGATATGATAGCATGAAATAAACTGAACGAGCTGTAGACCACGATACAGGAAATCAAAGTTCTAAGGCTCTGTAGAACCTCAAGTAATCAAATGTCTCCTCTAGACCAGGGGTCCCCAACACCCGGACTGATACTGGTCCGTGACCTGTTACGAACTGGGCTGCACAGCCAGAGGTGAGTGGTGGGCGAACTTCATCTGTATTTACAGACACTCCCCATCATGCATATTACAACCTGAGTGTCGCCTCCTGTCGGATCAACAGCAACATTAGATTCTCACATTAGATTAGAACACTGGAGAAGCAAAGACTGTTGTGAACTGTGCAAGAGAGGGATCTAGGTTCTCTGCTCCTTATGAGAATCTAATGCCTGATGATCTGTCACTGCCTCCCATCACTCCCAGATGAGACCATCTAGTTTCAGGAAAACAAGCTCAGGGCTCCCACTGATTCTAGATTATAGAGAGTTGTATAATTATTTTATTACATATTATAATGTCATAATAATAGAAATAAAGTGCACAATAAATGTAACGCATTTGAATCACCCCCAAACCACAGCCCCTGCACTCCCTGGTCCATGGAAAAACTGTCTTCCATGAAACCAGTCCCTGATGCCAAAAAACGCTGGAGACTGCTGCTCTAGACCTAACTCCAAAATGAGAAGGAGTGACCAAGATGGTCTTAAAGACCTCTACTAACCACAGTGTCTCCAGATTCTATTATCTGGCTTAAATACTGAGAGTGTGTGTCCAGGGAATAGACAGTTAAGAATGGAAATGCTGGTGAGAAATTTCAAAATATTTCACTGGTGGGCAAGAAAGAAACTGGTATGCTAGAGAACTATACATTTCCCCTAGTAAGATGACTACAGATAAAGCAACCCAACAGCAGGGGCATGGTATCTTCATACAGTCATTGCTGGAGATGCAGCTAAAGATTATTCCATTAGTTATGTCAGAAGATGTAGAGACTAGATAAATACCCAATATTTACAGTGATGAAAAGATGCTTAAGGGTAGGGAATCTAACCTATGGAAAAGCAAATATTTAATATTAGGGTCCCTTTAAAAAGGGAAATACTACATTCGGATTTAAAGCATGATTCTGGGCCAGGCGCTGTGGCTCACACCTATAAAAGCTGAGGTGGGTGGATCACTTGAGGCCAGGAGCTGGAGACCAGCCTGGCCAGCATGGCAAAACCCCATCTCTACTAAAAAATACACAAAAAAATTAGCAGGCATGGTGGCGCATGCCTGTAATTCCAGCTACTCAGGATGCAGAGGCATGAGAATCCCTGGAACCTGGGAGGCAGAGGCTGTAGTAAGCCGAGATTGCACCACTGCACGACAGCCTGGGCAACAGTGTAACTGGGCAACTCCACCTCAAAAACAAATAAATAATCTAAATAAATAAAACACGATTCTGAAATAAATTTAAAAAGCTAATATATATATCCCCTTATGTTCATACAGCCATTGCTGGAGATGTAGCTGAAGGTGATTCGGTCAGTAATAAGTCAGAAGACATAGGAGATACAGATACAAAACAAAGTCCTGACACAGGTAAAAGAATATTCTGATTTTTATTTGGTTTTTGTTTGTTTTGTTTTTGTGTGTGACAAAATAGATACACAAAATGCTATTATAAGGCAGACACTGCTATGGCCTGAGCTGTGTTCCTCCCACCAATATTCATATGTTGAAGCCTTGACTCCCCATGTGATATAGTGGCAGACAGGGCCTTTGAAGGATAACTAGCTTTCCATCAATGAGGTCATGAGAGTGGTGCCTCATGGTGGGTTTTAGATTTCTTATCTATATATTAATAGATGCTACCGTACTAAGAAATTATGTTATAACATTGTATGAATTACTGTTGGATCACAACTCAAAACACATAAATGGAAGGTGAAAATAATTAATGGAAGTAATATTCCCCATGGCTGTTTTTCTCCAAGTGTAGCAGCATCAGCATTAACTGAGAACCTATTTAAAAGGCAAATTCTTGGGCCCCATCCAGAATCAGAAACTCTGGTGTTGGGGCTAGCAATCTGTTTTAACAAGTCTTCCAGGTGATAATGATGCAAGCAAGTTTGAGAACCATTACCCTCTGGTATAAGGCACTAAGGGTGTGGAGGTGAGATTGTGTGCTTGCTGATAGTTTACATCTTCTACACAAACCCACATTGGGGAGGAGATCACCACGCCTCCAAGCTGAAGCTCATCTGTTAAAAAGACCTGTACCTAGCCTTTCAGTCCAAAGCTTCACATAACTTTACAAAGAGTAAAGCTCAATGTTAATTTAACAAACTAGTTAATAAAATTTTCCTATACTCCTGGCAAACTTATTTGCTTGATTTACCAGATAGGACAGATTCTTTAGTTTCACAGCAATGGCCTATCATTAAGAGTTAAAAATCTAATTATGCCAGGTGCAGTGGTGCTCCCCTGTGTAATTCCAGCTTCTTGGGATGCTAAGATTGAAGCATCACTTGAGCCTAGGAGTTTGAATCCAGCCTGGGCAACACAGCAAGAACCCATCTCTATTTTTTTTTTTAAACCCATAAAAATAAAATTAAAAATAGGAAGAAAATAAAGTAAAATTTAAAATAGGAAGAAAATCAGATTACTACACTGTTTAATAAGAAAAAAAGATTTAAAAAGTTAAGAGCTTTAGTATTAAGATTTTAGCTTGTTAGTCCTCTGGAAACTTAAGTACAACATCAAGATAATTTTTTTCTTTTTTTTTTTTTGAGACGGAGTCTCGCACTGTCACCTAGGCTGTAGTGCAGTGGCGCAATCTCCATCTCCCGGATTCAAGTAATTCTCCTGCCTCAGCCTCCGGAGTAGCTGGGACTATAGATGTGTGCCACCACGCCCAGCTAATATTTTTGTATTTTTAGTAGAGACGGGGTTTCACCATGGTGGCCAGGATGATCTTGATCTCCTGATCTCGTGATCTGCCCTCCTCAGCTTCCCAAAGTGCTGGGATTACAGGCATGAGCCACTGCGTCCAGTCAATAATTTTTTATATGTAAAAGGAAAAGATTAAGTCAGAAGTACAAGGTTTTTTTGTTTTGTAAACATGCCAAATATGAAATATTTGGAATATATTTAGAAAATATGAAACAGGACAAATACAGTTATTCTAGAAATTATATTAAACTGACACATGAAAATACAAAGTTCAAAGATATAAATCCACAAGGATCTCAGCAGCTAAATACATACGAAAAAAAAACTTCAGCAGGCAAGGATTTTAGGTACACCTGCAATAGATACCTATTGATTCACAAATTGCCACTCCCCTATTAGGAAGAATGTAGAATGTAGTATTGAGGTATAAAACTATGGATTATTTATCTTCAGGGAAAAAAATTCACAGGAAATAGTCTTTCTTTAAAACAGCAACATGTATTTACATGAAACACTCTTTCTTTAAAACAACAAATGTATTTACATGTAAAAACAGAGGTCACTTCATTTTTATTTATTTCACTGATGAAATTTTGAAATTGGAGTTGCTATTATTAATAATAGCTCCATATTGTTAACTTCAACATCTGGCCAAAAATCTGGTCCCCCAAAAGTATTCTCTTTGCTATCTTAAATGTATGCTATAAGCCATAAGCTTCTCCTTCCTTCAAATGAAAATCCAGCTAGAGCTGTAGACCCCTTGGATTCTGAATATTTAGATCGGTTCCCAATTTGGAACTTCTGGAGATTTTGATCCAATAGGTTGGTGTCAGTTCAGGCATCCATACTTTTCAACGATTCTCAAGCACTGGAAACCATAGCTAGGTTCTCATGCTCAGACCAGCAGAGGTCTGATTAACACAGAAGTTTCAATTTGATTCCATTCACGGAAAAAAAAATTGCTAATGCCAATAAATTATCACTTAAAAATGACTAATGGAATATGAAGGAAATTAATCACGGAGAAGAATCATAGACTCTTCAGACTATTCCTACTACATTAAGTAAAAAGAAATGGCCCAAGAAAATTGAATTAACCAGTTCTTTGGATCTAAAACATAATTGATTTTCCTCCCCCGTCTGAGGCACAAGCAAGAGAGGATAAAAGGAATCAAGATTAAATGAAAGTCGCCAGGAGAATTTAAAAAAAAAAAAAAAAAAAAGGAATCAAGAAGTTATCAAAGGAGAAAGGACTCTGCCAAAAGAGAAAATTTGTGTTTGACAATCTTATCACATACCTATCTCTTCTGAGTCAGAGAAACAAAATTGACTTAATTCATCTCCAATACACTGCCATTTATATGAGTTGGAATGCCTCTTTATCTGTGCATTCTCGCAAGCCACTGCTTTCTAGTATAGGACAGTCACAGTTAAGCCATTTTAGGTCAGAGGAGTGGAGCCAGGTACACTAAAATGAGCACAGAAGTTCCATGGTAGTAAAATATATCCTATTAGAGGAGGTCACACTGATCTTGAGCCTAAAAATCACAAGTGAAATACCTCAATGTTTACCTAAGAATAACCCTAAAAATGCCCATTTTTCTTTTGATTGTAGTAAAATGTATTTCCAAAATTAAAATCTTTACTATTTCCATAATTCAAGAAATTCACAATGAGATGGCCAGCAGGGGGCATTAAGGAATCTATTGTTATCATCTCAAAGGGTATGCCAAGAAATATGTTTTCTTCGAATTCATTTATCTGTTTCAAAAGAAAGAAATTGAAAATAATTTTCCTTAAACATGGAATATTTAAACACTTTTATATATTTTGCATCCATTATAATTTGTATAATCTTAGCAGGAAAATTGTTACATAAATTAATGTACTTTAGTCATATGAGACACAATATTACTGAGAACTTTTCATTTTAATCTAATTGTAGATCCAGATAGAGAACAACTGATTTCTAAAACTTCAGAAAACCCAAGACTTATAAATGTGAAAAAAGAAAGCTCAGACATAGGTGTACTGCTAAACTTAAATATAGGCAACTTGTTAATTATGAAGGCATGATTTTTCTAATTTGTACTGTTGATAGTATTTAATAACCTTTTAGGAAGCTGTGGCATAATAAAGAATATATCTAGTTTTGCTCTCCTGTTCCAGGAACAAAGCATCAACAACCTTTGGAATTTCCAAAGACATAAGCATCTTTGTTATGTTAATGAGGCAACTCTAGGTGGGTTCCCAGATCGCTTCAGCATGGATGGAGGCTAGTCACTGAAGACCAACCATGTGATGAGGGTTGGAGCTTTGTGCCAGTGCAGCCTCCACAGAGGAGAGTGAGGCTGGAGGCTGACTTAATCATATCATAAAACTCTGGCTCAGAGGAAGATTTGGAAGCTTGGTGCCATGCAGTTCATGTTTCGTTAGTTCCCTCATAACTTCCCAAAGTCATCACTGCATTAACCTGTACACTTGACCTGTCTTTACTTTTCTATTCTCAAACCTCAGCAACTCTTCTTTTTTGGTATGGAATTTACATTTATTAATTACAGTTATTAATTTACATTTATTAATTACACCCAATTAAAGCATATAACCCTGTGGTTTTTAGTATATTCACAGTTAAACAATAATCACCAGTATCCCATTTTAGAACATTTTGATCACCCCACAAAGAAATCCCATATTCATTAGTAGTTTAACTGCTTGTCCACACCTCAGTAAACCCTGGCAACCACTAACCTACTTTCTGTTTCTATGGATTTGCCTATTCTGGACATAAGTTGTACCCTCCAATATATAGTTTTTTGTGTCTGGCTTCTTTTGTTTCATAGTCCATCCATGTTGTAGCCTATATCAATATTCCATTCCTTTTTATGGCTGAATAATATTCCAATTTATGAATATACCTTATTTTGTTTTCCCATTCATCAGATGACAGATATTTGAGTTTTTGCCATTTTCTGGCTCTTATGAATACTGTTGCTATAAACATTCTGGTACAATTATTTTTCCATTTTGGTAAATTATACATAAAATTTACCATTATACCCATAAGTACATTCACACTGTTGTGTAAACATCACCCCTCTCCATCTCCAGAACATTTTCATCGTGCCAAACTGAAACTTCTGTAGCCCGTTAAACAATAACACCCCTATCCCAATTCTCCTTAGCTAGTGGTAACCACTATTCTCCTTTCTGTCTCTGTGAATTTGACTATTCTAGGTACCCCATATAAGTGGAATCATACAATATTTGTCCATTTGTGCCTGGCTTATTTCACTTATCTTCAAAGTGCTTCCATATTGTAGTATTTATTAGAATTTCCTTTCTTTTTAAGGCTAAATAATATTCCATTGTATGGATACACCATTTTGTTTATCTGTTCATCCACTGATAGTCATCTGGGTTGTTTTTGCCTTTGGCTATTTTGAATACTGCTGCTATGAATGTGGGTGTATAAATATCTGCTTCAGTCCCTGCTTTCAATTCTTTTGGGTATATACCCAGAAGTGGAATTGCTGATCATATGGTAATTTGTGTTCAATTTTTTCAGGACCAGCCATACTGTTTTTCCACAGTAGGTACATGTTTTTATGTGAACATGTTTTCAATTCTCCTGGGTTTATATGTAGGAGTGGAAATGCCTTGTCATATAGCATATGCTTAAACTTTCTGAGGAACTACCTGTTTTCCACCATGACTTCACCATTTTACATTTCTATCACCATCTTTTAAAAATTATATCCAGGCTGGGCGCGGTGGCTCACGCCTGTAATCCCAGCACTTTGGGAGGCTGAGGCGGGTGGATCATGAGGTCAAGAGATCGAGACCATCCTGGTCAACACGGTGAAACCCCATCAATACTAAAACTACAAAAAATTAGCTGGGCATGGTGGCGCGTGCCTGTAATCCCAGCTACTCAGGAGGCTGAGACAGGAGAATTGCCTGAACCCAGG